TTCTCCATCCTCCCTGCGTCCCCGCCACCCCTTGGTCGCATCCAGAGGAGAGCCTGGAAGAGGTGGGGGTGGGGGTGGGGCGCGCGGGGTGGCACGAGACAAAAGGGTCGCGGGGTCAGCCTGCCATGGCTTCCCGGAGCCTGGGGGGCCTGAGCGGGAGCCGTGGCGGGGGCGGCGGCGGCAAGAAGAGCCTGAGCGCCCGCAATGCTGCGGTGGAGAGGAGGAACCTGATCACCGTGTGCAGGTACGGCGGCCGGTCGCTCGGGGTGACGGGAGGGGGCTGCCGGAGCCCCGGGCTGGGGGCCGCGAGGCACCCCGCGGTAGCCCTGCGCCCCGGCCTCTGCGCACCGGGTGTATCCGCGGGCCCGCGCGCCCCCAGACGGGCGGGGGTCCGGGCACTGCCGAGGCCCCGGACTTTCGGTCAGTCCCAGGGCTGCCAGCGGCCGAGGGTACGGTTTGGGGCGGGGCTGGGGATGGGTTTGTTTTGAATGTGCAATCTCGAGTCCAGAGTGAAAGAGGAGGGAGGGCAGGGGGAAGCTCTTTGATTTAGTGCGTGTTGAGCTGTCAGCCAGCTTTTGGTGAAGTGGTCGCTACTGTGGTGATTGTTTACTGTGTTCCCTCAAAATCAGTGTGCATTCTGTGTTTGTTTTGGCTTGTTTACATATATTAAGTCTTTTCATGCCGCAGATCTTGAGTGCCTGCTACATGCCAGCGTGTGTGTGTGTGTGTGTGTGTGTGCGTGTGTGTGTGTGTGTGCGTGCTTCCTCTCCACTTTAAATTGCGGCGCTAGTGCTGTGTCTGCAGTTGTTAGCAAGAGTGGGACTGTGGAGGATACCTAGGCTACGTTTCAATGGTTTATTCCAAGTTCTGCCTTTCCTTACGTGTTTTCTAATTTTAAGTGTAGTATTCCTTTACTCTACAAAATATAGAGACAGAAAAGGAGTAATTACCAGTACTATTTATAAAAGGAATTACTATCTGTGAAAGGAATAGTTACTGCCTACAAAAACTTATTTTTAATATGCTGATACATTTTCTTTAAGTCTTATTTATGAGTAGTAAAAAAATTGAAGTCCTAAGCATCCATTTCTTAGGAACTTCTTTGAACGATTAAGTTGCTTTAAATTTACTGTACTTGGTTCAGTAAAACCCCTCATCATCAGCCATTGATAATCGTCTAAGAATCAAAGATGATGAAACCTTTTCCGCCTTTGCAGTTTATATCTATATTTTTCTTTTTCTTTGTGAAAAAATGTGTTTAGCATCTTAAGCCAAATATAGATATTTATACTAGGATGTATATTTAATAATTTTGAGAGACTTTTTGTTTTTAACTTGGACTGTTACAAATGTTCACCTTTCTAGCAGGAAGACCTGCCTCACTGACTTTTAATGGCACTGGGGTTGCAAACAGTAAAATTATATGAAATCTTTTAAATGTATCATTTTGTGGAGTCTAGGATGCAACCTTTTGAAGAAGATAGGCTGTATTAAAGTTTTTAAACGTAGGAAAATATTTTTTTAAGTTAGGTAGATAGAACAATTTTCTTACCTTTATTTCACAGCTATTAAAAGGAATTAGTTTTTAAAAAAGTGGATGGTCTCAAGCAAGTTCCAACATATGCAATGCTTCTTGGGCTAATGTATTTCATAAAAGCTTCATCAGAGTTAACCTTCACAGGACAGCAACCTTGTCTGCTTTTTGCTGAGTCTTTTTAAAAAAAATTCTTTCTACTATATATAGCATATGACTCTCAGCAAATATTTATTGAATTAATAAATTCAGTGGTTGGTACTATTCCTTTTGCTTCTCCATTTTTGTTTGGTTTTAGGTCATTTAATGTTCATTTGCTCCCTCTTAAGAGGCAGTTTAGGCGAAGACAGGGACTTGTATCTCAGCCTCATTTAAATTATATTTTAAGTTTAAGAAATTTCAGTCATTTCTCACTGATTTGTGTGGATTACTTTCTGAGCTAGCTGTATTTTTTATTTGCATAATTATTCTTTTCTACTGTGAAACAAACATAATTGCTACTTTAGTTACAGTTTGCACATAACCTTAGTGTTGTAGCTAAAATAAATTTCAATTTCTGGCTAAGATTTCAACCTTTGTATTTAATTATGTGGATAATATTATTAAGGCTGTTCTTTATGTCCAAATAGTTGATGTGCATATAAATTATCATCCATGTCTAGTAAGGAGATCTCTTTGATAGGCTTTGTCTAAAAGGCTTTTACTTTTTAGAAAAAAAAGTCACTGTAGGTCATTTGGCTGTTTTAAATGGCCCCACTTAAAGTTCAGCAAAATGAACAAATCAATATTGATGCGTTTCTGTTGCTTTTCTCTGCCTTTCAGAGTTGCCAAACTCTGAGTCTCTCATCCATCTCTAGTAATGAGTATATGTCTTCATTTTTACATATCAAATCCGAGGTGGTTTGATATTTACATTGGGAAGTTGGTTTAGTGGAAATATAATTGAGTTCTAAGTTTACTTTTCTTTAAATAATTGTATGTCTTTTAACAAGCCATGCAACCTTCCCGTTTTCCAGTTTTCTCGTGTGTAAAATAACCTTGGACTAGATCATTGCTAACCTTCAATGACAGCCCTAAAATTAAAAAAATAACCTTCAAGCAAAGTGTGCTCATATTTGTTTTTGAATTTCTCTAAATATGAGCAAGGTAATGGTAGGCATATGTTTAATGGTAGATAGATCAGGCATGTGCCTTTTTGTCTATAAACAGAAACATTTCATTTTGTAATTCTCTAATGATGTTCTGGAAAAACTGAACAGTTTACAAAGCCAAACCAAGTAAAACAACCCCCTGCACACACACTACCATTCTTGTGTATCTATTAATACGTTCACAGTAATGTTTTTCCTTACTCCTTAAACAATTTAGGCATACTCTCTATTTAGGTTTAAAACGTTATTATATAATCACACACTTCTTTAGGTTTAAAAACATCTCACAGAAGAACAGTATTACCAGAGCTCACTTTCCCTTTCTATCAAGGGCTGAGACTGTGTTTCCCCTCCGGGGCCTGGAGCTGAAACTCTGACTCCCCGGAGCAGACCAGACTAGAGCAGAGCTGTCTAGCTGGAAAGGGGCCTCGCTCCAGGGCTTCCTTGCCCCAGGACCTCCGCACAGAGCCGTTCCATAGCCATGCTGTTCTCATAGTCCTGATGTACCTCAGTTGAGCTGTTTGCACTGAGTAAAGTTTCCTTCTTCACCCCACCCCAAGTTGGAGATCCCTGTTGGCATTGACTTGGTGCCAATAACCATTGGCTGACAGTTGTAATCATATTTTAGTAGAATCTTTAGGGTTCTTTCTATATAGTATCATGTCATATGCAAATAATGAGTTTTACTTCTTCCTTTGCAATTTGGATGCCTTTTATTTTTTTTTCTTGTCTGATTTCTGTGGCTAGTGAAGGTCACTTTTTAGAACTACTTGAACAGTACCTGCAGCCTGTCCTCCCCCCCCTCCTCCCCCCCCCGCACCCCCCCCCGCAGGTCCTGCTGGGGACACCATGGGCAGGTGGACCTCCAAGGCACCAACAGGAGCTGGGCAGGGTTTGGTGGTAGAACCATGAGGACAGGACAGGGATGGGGGCACAGTCTGGGGGCTGGCATGAGGGCTGTGGGTCCTGCTGTCCAGAGGCCCAGTCACCACAGCACCCCCATCAAGTGAGCTATGTCTGGAGTATTTCATTTTGGGAGATGCTAATGTAAATGGCATGTGTTTTTCATGTCAAATTCCACTTGTTTGTTGCTGGTATATAGGAAAGTTGGAAAAAAACCAATATTGCTATACTTTGAACTTTAGAATTGGGTTGTTTGATTAGGTAGGATCATGGGATTGGATGGAATTGAGCTGAATTTTGGTTCATTGTGATTGTATATGTAGTTATTTCATGAGGTATTTTCAGTGAAAATTTATATATTGTAGACTAAAAATATCTGGGTGATATTTATCTCAACAAATAAGTACAGTTTTATCATATTTTTCACAGATTGTGTGGAGAGAAAATAGGTCATTTGAGGCATCTAAATATCCTACACTCAATTCTGAAATATTCATAGATTGACTTTGGTTCTATATGCCAACCAGTATTATTTTCCCTGCATATTCTCTTCATTTAGAACTTTGAAAAATTAAATTTTAAAGCCCTTCAGGCATTTTCTAAAACCTTCATTCTTCATAGAAAATCAGGTATTATTCATTTTTTCTGTTATTTTCAAGCTTCATAGGTTATTGAAAAGCTTATATATTCTTTTGATTTTAGTTCTTTTGACAGAGAGAATTAAAATCTAAATTCTCTTTCTATGGCTTAACATTGTTTTATGAGGACAATATTAAAATGTATATATTTAAGTATGTATGCATACCAGTTTTAAAAATAAAATTTGTTAAACTCTTAAATTAATACTTAAAGAGAAACTCCCCTCACAAAGTCATAATTTTCCTGTCTCGTGGCTAGAGGACTAATGAGTGATTTAAGACGATAGTGTGATGAGCTAAGCAGAGTGGAGACAAATGATGGTTTTAAAAATAAACTACTTTTAATGACAGTTACATAGTTGTTCTTAGTTTTCTATTGGTCAGGATATTATTTCATAACTTGAATGTTATTTCAAATAACAGAAACACCTAACATTTCCAGTGTAGTCAGAGAATGAAGTGTTCATATTTTCCATGTAACTAAGGTTTGAGTTAAGCTTAAAATTCTCCCTTCAACTATAGTGCTTTACTCAGCATTTATTGTGCAGTGCAGTCTTCTATATAACTGCAGCTTCCAATTTAAGTGTTCAGATTTAAACCACAGTAAACAATAATATTTTAAGCATCTTGGATGAGTTGCTTTTAGAAAAGAATTACCCATTTTTCTACCCTCTTTAAAAAGACTGCATAGCACAATATAACCTTTGTTGATGATCTTACTCTAGGCCTGTTTCTATGAATATGTCCTGTGCAGTGGCTGCTCTTGGAGATTCTCAAGATACATAGAGCTTTTTGCTATATGACCCCAAAAGATTGTTTGGAATTCATCTGCTTTTGCATATGCTGTCTCTTCCTACCAAGTTAGCTGTTATTTCTTACAACTCCGCCTGTATCTAACAGCTCTTTTCTTTCTGCTTGCCAATCCTGGGTTTCCATCCTGAGTTGCTCATTATGATTGGTTGTGAACTAGGAAAGCAGATAAGTAAATTTATCATGTGTTAAAAAAAAAAAAAGCACC